CAATAGTTTCAAAATTGTTACACACAGCATGCGTGATCTGGAACTGTCAAAAGTGATCCACAACTGTCGGGTTAAGTCCTGTACAAAAGCCATGATTTATAAATTGTCCCTTTACATGTATATAAGTTGAGTCTGTGTGAACATCTAGCCTTTTTGTTATTAACTTGAATAGGAGGAATTTTACTATTAAAGGAATATACAACATGTGCTTTTGCTGCAATTTTCAGAAATAAATGAATTTGGAGGATATGTTGTAGCAAATACATGTACTGTTAAACTGACTTTTTCACGTTTTGGGCTTGTTTATGCTGGAAAAACCAAGAAAACCAATCATTTTCTTGTAGTCTGGTTCCCCGACCCCACTTAAGATGAACTTAAGATGAAACGGAGAAACGTAAAGACTTTGGGGAATTGTAAGGTCAAAGAATCACTCCAGCAGGTTTGTACCCCTTCACAGGTGTGTAATCTATTGCAAAGAAAATGCGGAATAACTAAATATGAAAAAATTGGAGCAGTTTTTGAAAAAAGCCAGTTTTTTCCAACGCTGGTCGGCCGACCAGCGTTGGAAAAATACACTTTTTCTTAAAAATGTCAGCACACCAGGAGCCACGATTTTACAGGATGCTTTAGACTGTCAATCCCTTACAATTCAGTGAGGTATTGTGTGATAATTTGATCATTTCGTTTTTTGATGTTTGCAAATGTTGTATCTTCCCTTTAAATGATGTCACTCGGACACGGATACTCCGAACATGGACGGGTGTACATGTACAGCGGCTTGTATAAATAGTGATCTGGAACTGTGGCACTGAGTATGTGCCTCATGCGCATAGTGCTAAAAATCTCCTATGTACAAATTGGCGCACACGAGATGCGGGTACAGAACGCAGCGGTGTTAATACCTGCGGATTGAAAACACCCACGGGACAGGCTGTCAACCAATAAGAATGGGTAAACTGTCTCAGTTATAATTTTATGAATGTTTGATGATAATACATTTTAATGTCAACACAAAACAATGATCAACATCAAATCAGTTAGAGCTCACACCTTTTATCACAACAATTATTTCACTTATAAAAACTACAAGTTGTATTGCAGTTCTGATCGATGCACTGGATAGGTCTAGGCCTACATCAAACTAAGGTTGAAATGAAATTGACTTGGGTTAAAAAAAAAGTATTTCTATATCACTGATAAATTCATATCAACAAGTTTATAATTTTGTTCATTCTTTATGTTTTTTTGGATTATTTTCTGTGAAATATTTTCAATATATTAATCAACAAATTGAAAATGTAAGTTAAATCAATCCAAGTGACACACTGCAGTAGGTCGAGTCCTATACTGTTCTTAATCTTATTACTTTAAAAGTTTAAACCTATTTTCTAACAAATTTGAATGTTTGTCAAACCTAATAAAAAAATAATCAATGTATGTATTTTGATGTAATTGTGATCATGACTGAACATCATAATAACAATAATAACGGCAATTTATAACGCGCCATGGCACAATACGAAACAATAAAACAATTAAATTTAACTAAACGAGAATATTCTGAGTGATCTGAAACAAATAGGTCTTCAGGGTTACTTTAAATTCAGAAAGCGATGAGATATTGCGAATGGTGAGGGGTAGTTTGTTCCAAAGATGAGGACCTGCGTAAGAAAATGATCAATCACCCTAGCTCTACTGAGTGGAGCGTTGAATTACGGGTATCCCTCCATACCCGTAATTCAACGCTCCACTCAGTAGAGCTACAATCACCCCAAGGTTTGTGAGAGTGAGGGACAACAAGCAAAGAAGCATCAGAAGATCTCAATCGCCTGGATGACATGTTTGACAGAGGAAGGATTGAGGAAGGATTGATACTTCATATTTTCCAGTCAATTTTACGAAAATTATAACTCACCGTAAACTGGCTGTCTTTCCAGTCACTGTTGTTCTTTTTCTCCCGAGAATTCTCCATCTTTTCTCCTTCCACAATCCTCAAGAAGCGGAGAATTTCACTTTTAATCTTAGCCAGAGGCTAAATCAAGTATGTTTTTCTTTTTTTGTAGAGTTTTAGGTAACTAAAGTTCGAGTGACTGACGGTATCACCAATCGGAACAACTTCCACGCTGACACACCGGCGCGATCACCGTGACTGGCCATGCTGTCCGTCCGGGTCCACGAGGCAAACGACCCGGGAGACGCGTGGTCCGTTGCCCGGTGGCGCCTCGGCGATCCCGACTACGGCATTGTGATTTTCAACTCATGAAAACTAGAGACAAAAACCGTTTCACGATGTGGAAACTTGATCACAACCTAGGAGCCGAATACAAGAACGAATGCCAGTTACATCGGACTGCAGAAATAATTATCTTAGAGCGTTTTGCTCGGCGTGAAAATGCAGTTTTGATCTGTCCTCCAAGAGCTCAAAACGTCTTTTACGTGTTTGTGCACTGCGGCCATACACTAGCAACAACACTATCTGATCGTATTCGATCAACAGGCGCATTACGTACGCGCATATGGATCGATCGACCAGCAGAAAATAGGTGGCGCCCTAAAAAGATCCAAAGATGATAATAAAAAAGAAGGCCGCAAAAATCAATACAAGTTGTTTGTCCGGAAAATACAGCGAGTGTTGTTTGTCGATTTAATATGCATATATAGGACATTTAATAAGTGTTTTGATCAATTGAGACATTCAAAGGGAATAACTCTTCAAGCAACTTATATTATGTGATGTTGACGATATCAGGACAGGGGCGGAGCAAAGATGGAAGTGGTGGTGGTGGTGTGGGGGGGGGGGGGGGGGGGGGTAGCAGATGAGGTCTATGACATTGATGGCGCTGATCGAGGAGGCAATTTTTCCAGCGAGACATGATGATTTTACACTAATAAACATACTTATGGATCAGCAGCACACATACAGTAATTCAAATAGGAGGTGCTTTTTTATTTCTTAATAAAGTACTCCATGAATTTTAGCATACAAATTATATCAAAATAGTAGTATTTTTAATGTCAATAAAAGCATATCATATTTCAAAGGACTTTCAAAAAAGCATTGCCACCACCTTTAGCAAAAGTGTTTTAGATGAAAAACATATTTATAAAATACCAAAAATTACCAATGATATAAAAGTCATTTCAATATAAAAGCCACAATATACAGAACATATAATCACCATGATCGTATTACAAACTGATATGTCTTCAGGCTGCTTTAAAGAAGGTTAAAGGTACAGTCCATCATTTGTAATTTGTGCGTTTTGTTTGTTTGAAGCAACAAAAGTGCTGAAAATCTAGGTCTAATTATTAAATTCATTTATAAAAAAATATTCATCCATATCTAGTTGCACTTATTCAAGATTTTTTTTTACATAGATATAACGTAGACATGTGCATATAACATAAGCTATATAAAAGCATAACACTTTTATAAAAGGCACACTGGAATTTAGGAATTTCTTTTTAGAAAAACGTCCGGATTACAAAAATAAGGTTATCATCACAAAAAAGTATCTGTGAGCTTCTACTAAGTCGAACTTTAAACTATATACATTGAAAATGTTGTCATTATAAAAATGAAGACAAATGATTTTTGCAGAAGTGAGACGTATTCTTAGGACCTTAAAACAAACTCGACCAGAATTACTTACATTTCAAGTGGTGGGCAGCCGTGTTGGTCACACAAAATCAAATAAAAGTCAGGTAGCAGTTACGACTAACTAGAGAACTGAATGTGCATGAGCTTTCATAGCTACAACTATTCTGTTCTCTAGTTAGTCATTTAAGTGATACCTGACTTTTATTACATTTCAAGAAAGCTTTACCATAAAAAAAATTTACACAAACTCTAGAATAATACATTCTGTGTACATTATGTATAAGTTCGGTACTCGTGCAAATAGCCAGATAGGATAAATTAATTCCATTGAATAATAGCACTCACAGAAAGTATAATCTCCCATCTTCTGATATACAAAGATCAATAACAGCATAAAATAATTTAAAATCGACCTGAGCGGTGGTGCAAAGGAAGGGGTGGGGAAGGGACATGTGCACCCCCCCCCCCAATTTGCCCCACATGACCCATGCTTCCTGGCCTAAGGCTGGTTAATTATTCACACAGATTGAAGGGCAAATCATTTTTTTACTCAGTGATGTCAAAAACTTGTTTTGTTATATTATTTATGTATTGCTGTAACATTCAATGCACAATCTTCCATACGTATTCGCAGCACCACTAGAGGCCTTTTCACACTAGAGCCTATCAACCCGGGGTGAGCTCGACCCTGGGTGAATCCAGTGCTGCCCCAGGTTGAATTTCGTATTTTTCAACCCCGCATTCACAATTGTTTCGTGCAAATGAGCTTATTTTGCTCGGTTACTGTCTTGAACACTGGCAAGAATTTCAACCCTCGTTGAAAACCTCACCCTAGTCTAGCTGGAGCAGGGTTGAGTTCAACCCGGGGTGAAATCAATCTCAGGGTTGACGCAGGGTTGAAAATATTCAACTAAGTCAGACCCGAGACTTGTCTAGTGTGAAAAGGCCTTAGATGTTTGGTTTTTTAACCTATTAGTACCTGTACTACATGTACATTGTTTTGCACTGCATTAATGCCCTGATTAACCAATAAAGTAAATCACAAACTTGTACCTTTCACAAGTCTACTCACAAGTACTAGGGGGGTGAACAATAACAAAGGAATGCCTTTGTTACAGTGTGCACTTGAATAGCTTGTGACCAGTTGAAGACTTGTGATGGACTTGTGAGGACTACGTGATGGACTTGTGAGGACTACGTGATGGACTTGTGAGGACTGGTGAGGACCTATGATGACTTGTGAGGATTTGTGAGGAGTTGTGATGGACTTGCGAGGACTTGTGGGGACTTGTGAGGACTTAGGAGGACATGTGAGGACTTGTGAGGACTTGTGAGGACTTAACAGGACTTGTTAGGACTTGTGAGGACTTGTTGGGACTTGTGAGGATTTGTGATGGACTTGAGAGGACTTGCAAAAACTTGTGCGGACTTGTGAAGAATGGTGAGGACTTGTGAGGACTTGCAAGGACTTGCAAGGACTTGTGATGGACTTGTGAGGACTTGACTCTAACACTGAAAACGATAGTGTAATGTGCGGTACAGAAAGTGACAGGCAGGGTGGTTTGGGGTTGTACAGGCACTAATAGGTTAATTTTTCTCTTAAGGTACTTGACACATTAAAGAAGTAGCCCTGTTCAAAGTACGAATCGGTGAAGATAGGACAGTAGTTGTAGATGAGGTACTTGTCCAAAGTCCCGGGGCTGAAGGAGTGGTAGCTCTTGCGAGCTGTCAAGAGAAACATCAGGAGGTTGATTCAGTTGAGACACGATAAAAATGTGAACAAGCATCTTGAAATGCTGAATGAATGTGATTTAAGGCTTTGTTTGGTGAATACAATTTGTAGTTGAGTCAAGAGTTGTGACGAGTCACTGAATTTTGTGACTGGAGTTGAGTCGAGTCATTTTAAAGAATTGCCTCGAGTCGAGTCATTAGGTCAAGAAGGTCCAGTCGAGTCACAGAGTATAGTCTAGTTGAGTCATTTGAAGGAAGTGAGTCGAGTCAAGTCATAATGTCAAGAAAGTCTTTTCAAGCTACAGACTTTTAAACACAACTACTGTTTTAAAGTTTTGTCCACGTATCACAAAAAAGGTAAGTGCTCTTTCAGCTAAACAAAAACAATAGCAGTGTATGTAAGTTGTTTTCATTTTGCTGAAAGGACACGCACATTTTTTGTGATCAGTGGACAGAACTTCTAAACGGTGGTTGTGTTTAAAATTCCGTAACTTGAAAAGTATATGAGTGATTTGAATGATTCTTGTACTGAAAGAAAGCTTATTAATTGAGCTTTCATATACTAGATTTAGAAAGTGCTACATGCTGAACTTTATTAAGAAAATGGTCCTGCTTTTTGGGTTTCCTTTTTTTTTTACTCACCCTGAACTCAGCGAAAGTGCACACAACCACATGGTGTTACCACAAACCGAAGCTACAGTATAATGCTTTCGTCATTAACCCTAACCGAACTCAACCCATCAAAGCCCAACAGCAGGTTTTGTTGAAATCTGTTGGGATAGGTACAGTACCCCTAAAATGATGGTCTTTTACATTGGGTTTGGCATACCCCCAGAAACTAAGTCCAACAGTGTGTGTGTACGATTTCTCATGTGGGTGTTGAAATTTGCCAGGATGGGTACGGTTCCTAGTAAATTATGCTGGGGAGTCAGGGTTAAAGGGGGCCCCTATAGCCCAATATTACATCAATGTTTCTCACCTTCTGAAACGAAGAAATCTGCAAAGAACTGAGTGGCTTTAACAGCATCGTATGAATGATTGATACTCTTGGATTCCCACTCATAAGGGTTCTTCTCCGGATGAAACTGGACGCCGTAAATGGGGTAATACATTGCTATGGAACAATCAGAGAGACAGCAGGAAAGAAATTTTTAAGAGGCTCTCTTGCAGTTCAAAGGTACAGTCCATCATTTATAGTTTGTGCATTTTGTTCGTTTGAAGCAACAAAAGTGCTTAAAATTTCCCAGGGAGTTTAGTTCCCTTACTTTTTTTCAACCAAGCATGTGTTTCAACAATAATTACGTCAGTTACTTTCTGGATAGCTGCAAATGATGGACTGTAGCTTTAGAGCAAAAGATTTTACTCTAAAATGATGCCAATCAGGCAAATATTTCTGACATACACGTAACACCTTGTAGAGAACATTTTGAATAATCCCAGTTAAAGGTACTATACAACATTTTCAAACATCAAGAAACAAAACTACCAAATTATTTATCAATACCTTTTGACTGTAAGTGAATAATAGTCTCAGGCATCCTGCGAAATCATGGCACCCGGTGTGCTGTCATTTTCAACAAAATTGAATTTTTGTATCAATTTCCAACGATGGTCTGCTGACCATTTTGGAAATAAACCAGACTTTTTTTTCCAAATACTGCCCCCAATTTACCAAATTTAGTTACCAAAATCGGTTACACATCCGTGAACGGGTGCAAGCCAGCTAGTCTGGTTCCCTGATCTGGCAATTCCCCAACGTCTAGAAATTGCTCCGGTTCGTCTGAAGTAGGGTAAGGGAACCACACTACAAGAACAGCATTGTTTCCCCTTGGTTTTCCCAGCATCTTGTGCATTTTTCGGTCACTAAGTTACCATGTGTCTATTCTTACCTTCTATTGTAGAGATAAAGACTTTCCCATTCTTGTCGACATTGGTGGACAGCACTCGGTAAAACGACTTAAGAGCTGACGACTTGGAAAAATTCTGGAGCAAAATAATTACCAAGCATAAATACCACTCCTATTGGTCGAGAGCCCGTCACGTGGGTGGTTTTAAACGGTTGATAAAACACCAGCTAGTTTTAAACACTTTTTGCGGCACCGCTGCGTTCTGCACCGCAAAGTGCAGTACGTGCCAAGCGCACAGTATGTGCCACTTCATTCCAATCCCACTGTGTTCTGCCTGGTCGCCAAAATGGCCATCACCAATTTGCCTCAGGACATTATCAGTGTCCAGGCCCCTACCCGGTGTTAAATGTATCTGTTTAAAACCGGCCAAGCGCATATTTTTTCCCCTTAAAACCCTAACCCTCTTTGGTATGTTTGCTAGAACCCTGCCAAACGTAGCAACATGGAACACTTGACCGAGTGACAAGCCTGACGTTGCCAAGTTGTATTTTGAATTGTGCCAGAAATCAGTATCTGGAGCACGTTCTCATTTGGCCAATTGCCCTGAACCAACGAATAATAGCAACCACGCGTGTGTGCGTTGAGTCAACGCTGGCGCGCACCCTTACATGAATTCACCCAATTACAAACCAAATACTCATATAAATTTCTAAAAATGTTTCACTTGACTCATGTTTGAAAATGACCTTCTTTTATGGTTCTCTTCAAAATTACAGTACACCGGAAGGAGTCATTTTACAGGGAGTTTGGCAGGGTTCGAAATTAGCGGTAGCCCGCTAGCCTAATGCTAGTCATAACAGCGACGGGCTAGTCAAACTATTCCTTAAGTAGCCCGGCTGGCGAGTCAAAAGTTATTGGGCTACGGCAAAGATGAAAGGACAGGAAGAAATAAATCATTAATTCTAACTATTCTAAAGGGTTCAATTAGATCTGTTTAATTGCCTCAGAATTGAGCCTGAAAATACAGCATTTTATATTTGAGCTAAAAAAAAAAATGCGGGCTAGTGAAAATGCTTCCGGGCTAGTTAAGGGGCCGTTTCAGTAGCCCGACTGGCTAGTGCACAAAAAAGTTAAGGTCGAACCCTGAGTTTGGTGCCTTTAGTATCTTTTAACAAAGTAAACCTTTGTAACAATAATTTGGTCAGTTACCGTGCTTTCTGGATAGCTGCAACTTATCTACACTACCTTTTAAGTGACACTGCCAGCACTTACGGTAGGTGTCAGTCCGAGATTGTGGCTGTTGTACGTCACATTTTCATTTGACAGGATGCTCACCACAGACTGCTCTGCTCCATGGAAGAGCCGACTGTCTTTAAAATCTTGGATGAAACAGACACGTTATTTGGCACACTTTCCTTCTTTTTTTTTCATTCTAATAATGTTTTGTTACACAAAATCATCATGTTTTACTCAGATTTCATATTGTTCTTACCTAAAAGTGTCTGATCTACATGTATAGTAAACATGACAATAAACCACTCAGTTCTGTAACTACACGTAGTAAGTCTTTATTTTGTGTCGTTTGTCTATCGATATCAACGGACATTCTCGGGGTTTTCCGATGTGCGGTCACGTGGCTGGTCCTATTTCCTCGCTAGAGGGCGCACCAGCTGCAACTGGGCTGGCAGTAGCGATCAGGCAATAACTCGTGCGCATCCTCAAAGGTTCCCAATGTGGTCGCATGGCCACCACAAAGAGACAGCTGGCGTGCGAGCTACAATTGGGCCAGTGGTAGTGATCAGGCTAACTCGAAAGCCAGGATTTGTTGCAGTTACTGGCTGGACTCCGATCACCATGGCATTGAGTACACTGCATCCCCAAGTTGAACAGTAATGACTCATGGAAACAAAAATTCAGTCTTTTTACTCTTCTTTGTTACTGCCAGGAAGTGATTTTTTTATGGACTAGCTGACAAAAAGTTCAAGATAAACGGAGGAAACGGGGCAGGCATTTCGAGTTACGGGGGTATTCATGTACATAATATCCTATTCTCTTGATGGGAATGGATTATTGCTTCGAGATCAAGGGATTTTGAGTTATCCAAATTTGAGTTAATTAGAGTTTACTTTATCATATATCTACAAGGAACCTTGTTTACCTTTTGTTAGCTGGAGGGGCCAGGATACTTCTGAAGCATCAGTTGATGTCAGCAAATCTTCGTTAGCTGTTATCCGAACTAAGAGCTCCATACCCAGGCAAGTTCCCCAGATAGGAAAGTAGTCTCCTCTTTCGTCATAACTCTGAATGGAGGAAAGAGGGACTTTTGACAAAAGTACTTGAATTTTGGGATATGGTGAATGCCTTCCTTTCTTCCTTGAAGTTGCAGCCTCATATGTAAGAGGAATAAACACACTGGCAGAAACACCGGGGCGAACCCCTTCTCTTTCGCGATAAGTGTTACTGGGTTCTTTTACGTGCATTTTGCAACACATGGGCCCCACGGCTTTACGTCCCATAACTGCGCACCTGTTCCAAATGAATCTAACGCAGGGTCAAGTGTGACTCAGGCATGGCTTAGTCTCTAACATTGTGGGTAATCATTGAGGAAGTACATACTGTTAGGCAGAGCGATAATAACTGTGCTTAGGAACAAGAGTGATTTTTCCAAAATACTGCATGATAAATCTGCATTCTGACCAATCAATGAAATCGTGGCATGGAGCTGTTGCCTCTTACGTTGCCCTGTAAACCTTTTACTATAAATTCCCATGAATTTGAACAGTTAATGTTTCCTATCATGCAATAGATTGCTATTTGTTTTCCCCTTTCCGTTAAAGCCCGCCGCACACGAGAGCGACTTGCCGAGCAAAAAGTCTTTCAAGGCCGTTTGCTCAGCATGCAGCTCACAAAATATCCCTGTGTGTGCGGTGAGGTTTTGCTGAGTTTTCTGCCTCGCGAGGCCGTGAGGCAAATATCGATCCTGTTTGATTTTTCTCGCCTCAAGAAAAACTCAATGGTCCCTATTTTTGAAATCACGCAACCGTTAGACAAGAATACATGTTATGCGCTTTCATTGGCTAGTTTTTAGCTCAGCATGTAGCACAGGTTGCCCGCAAACGGTGAGTTTTTTGCCTCGCGCAGCGAAAAAATCAAACAGGATAGAAATTTGCCTCACGACCTCGCGAGGCGGAAAAATCAGCAGAAATTGACGGTGATATTTTGTGAGCTACGTGCTGAGCAAACGGCCTAGATTGAGTTTTTGCTGAGCACGTAGCTCTCGTGTGCGACGGGCTCAATTGGCCTTATGGCTTTTGCCTGGCATTAAATAAACCGCATACCACAAAATCTTCAAATAAACCACATAGAGAAACCGACTAGGCACGTATAACGATTATTTAAAAGTTAAACAAAGAAATGGATTGGAATGTGAACCTACTACCTTCAAAATATCAAAAACCAAACATGTAGTGTACAAACAGCTGTTATACTTACAAAGTTTTCATTACTGTGCAACTTTTCACTTTTTCGAAATATACCCCATTTTGGAAATAAATTCTTCACATCGTTGCCTGACATCTCAAGTCATAAATTGAAACATTGTGCGTACCTTGATGGCTAGGTCATAGAACATCTTTCCTGCTTTTCCATATGGTGAATGAATCGGGTCGTCCATTCCACCGCCTGGAAACAACACTCTACAAATCAATGACAGAAACATAGTGAGGATATTATACAATGTCACGGTTTTCTGTGGCCATGAACAGCGCATCCATTTCCTAAGGATCAGAAAAGAATAGAAGCTTCCGGTACATAACAAGAGTTTTCATGAAGTCAAGGGTCTATGATATGTGAGCAGATTCGGCGATTAATTGTGCAAAACAAGACTGCTTCTTGGCCTTGAGATTCTGACCATTCAACGGGTACCTTCTAAATCGGGTCTTCGGTAACCCGTTTTGAAAGCCAATGTCGGGTTTTATCAGATCTAGATGCCCGTTCTGGTATTACAAAGTCATGGCATCCAAATTGACCAATCAACAGCTCAGTCCAGATTTTGGAATGAAATGACATCATGTCGCAGTCCTTCTGATTTGAGGCGTGCGATCACACCCCCACGCCATCACACGCCTAAAAGCTTCCTGAGAAGTGCGAATAATCACACGCCTGAATCCTCAGTACCGCACACCTTGGCATACATTTACGGCATAATTATATTTCATAACTTTTTGTCCATGCATCACTAATTTTTCCCTTCAGTGACCCATCAGCCATCAAAAGTGATATGTCCAAAAAGTCAAATTTGGCAGGAAAACTATTGAAGTATTTACTGAGAAAACACTTAGAAATGTTCAGACCAGTCTCATACGGTTTGTGCACAGGGTGACAAGTGATGGCCACATATGGGAATCTTTCCGTGAAAAATAAAGTACATCAGTGAAGAGAATGCTTTGTTGTAAACCAAGATGAATATTATGGAAAGAAAAGATTGTTCAGTCCCAGCTTGGATCACAGAATCACACGCCTAAAAAATCACACGCCTAGAAAAATCACACACCTAGAAAAATCCAGGTGTGCCTTTTTTCACACATCTGTGATTTTCAAATCAGAAGGACTGATGTCGACTCCCATTGGCTGGAGCCAAGGGCGGATCCAGGGGGGGGGGGGCCAAAGGGGGCCATGGCCCCCCCCAAAACGAAACAAATTTTTTTTTTTTTAATGTGACATCGCAATAAAGGCAGGCAATGAGTTCACCACCATCTTTTCCTAAAAAAAAATTGGTTAAAGTGGTCAGAAATTGCCTCAGATCGCACCACAGAGCATCTAGAATCCAAAAAAATTTCGGGGCCCTTAAGCGGGCCTCGAACCCCACGCCATAATTTTTTAGACCCACTTTTTGGGGGGACCAAAAATTTTTTTGGCCCCCCCAAAAATTGTGTTCTGGATCCGCCCTTGGCTGGAGCGCAGGGTCGCATAAATTTGCATGCTTAGATACATATCAGACGTTGGACCGGAGACAGAGAGGGCTCTGTGGGCAACGGGTGATACTCAGACTAAGAGAACAGTTGGAAACTCACAAACTGTAACAACGAAAAGAGCCTTCTGGATAAGCATGGTATTTTTCATCTCACCCATTGAGAGAAGCAAACATCTTTTCGTAGTAGGAATCCGGCTGGTCGATGAGAAGGGGGACCACCCTTGCCCCGGCTGACTCCACAAACTTAACGTAGGAGGCGGCAATGTACGCATCACCGTACTTCTTGGACGGAGTGCTCTGAGACAAAACACCTGAGGGAAGCGGAAGAAATGTAGACCAAATATAAACAACTCAGCGTGCAGAGAGAAACAAAAAATTATACAAATAAAAAGGGAATAAATGTGTGCTTGGCCAGTTTTTAAACACTCTGTTTTAAGACAGGTTGGATTCTGGATGCTGATGATTACCCGAGCCGAAGGCGAGGGTAATTATCAGCATCCAGAATCCAACAGGTCTTATACAAAGTATTTAATACCAGCCAAGTACATGTTTATTTCCATTCATTTATTCTCATTCATAAATGGTTTCAGGTATCTATAATGCTTCGGTTGGTTTGGCCCACTGACCTCTATATAAAGACTGGATAGCGGATAAAGAGCCGCACAATGAATGAATTTGATGCCATATTGGTGAGACCGGTGAGACCGGCTGGTGATCTACAAAGGACAAGTTGCCGTCTTTATAGCATCATGGTTACTTTTGTAACATTGCGGTTCACTTGATTTATATATTGACCACCACCACTGACCACGATTTACAATTTTTCCAACGTCGTGGTTTACTTTTTTTTAAATGCCGCAGTTCCTTTTTCAGCGTTTTGGAAATAATAATCACTGTGGAAATGTGTCCTCTTTAGAACATCATAATATGTGTACGTGACCAAAATGCGCGTCAACTCTTGATACAGCGCGCTGTATACGCGTAGAACGTTCGCATTATACGCGGCCATCTTCGTGAGACCGGGGGCGAATTGGTCAATATGCAAAGTCTACTGTGTGACTGGTGTATGGATATCCGCTATCCAGTCTTTATATAGAGATCAGTGGTTTGGCCTGGTGAACCGACCACAGACACGATGTTTATAGTGCATATCGCGGGCGGCGTCAGACGGGCCAATCCCAGACCAAAAGAGGAAAGATTCCTATCTGGCCATGTCACCCTGTGCACAAATCCTATGAGACTGGCCTGAAATTTTTAAAGTGTTTATCAGTAAATACTTCAATATTTTCCTTTCTAATTTTGACTTTTTAGGACATATTATCAGTTTTTGATGGTTGATAGGTCACTGAAGGGAAAAATTAGTGATGGCCAGATATGGGAATCTTTCCCCAAAAGACTCTGACGTCTCACCAACAAGGCTTCGCGTGCAACGACGTGCACGTCAAAACGTTAAAACTCAAACTGTAAATTCAGTACGGAAATGGGATCGTTTTCATCATTTTTTTGCACCATCAGGATCGATTCAACCATTTTTTCTTTTTAGTGAAATAAGCGTAAGTATGTGTCAAGAATTACTGGGCATAGTCTTGGGGTAGAAATATGATAGTGGATATATTGCCGGCGGTAATCCTGGCAAGCTAACGTTTACTAAAGGTTTGCCGGCGGCAATCCCTATCAACAGAGGATGCTGTACTCTCTAAGATAGGGCTGAATTATAAGATATATTAAATTACCACCAACGGTTGTGTAGCACCTGTGGTCTAGGTGATAAGAGCGAGGATGCGGATCTCATGAGCGGGAAGACCCGGGTTCGATCCCTGCTGGCGACATTTTTAAGGGTTTTTTCCCCCCATCCCCCCAAAATAAGAATATTCTTCTTTTTATTATTTTAACATGTCTCAAACATTTTATTGCAGAATCAAGTCCAAAAATTGTAAAATGGGAAATCAAGTCCAAAATTGTAAAATGGTCTGATTCCCATCTAATTGTGCTTGTGAATACGAAGTTACAACGATAATGTTGGCATGGAGCCAGACTAAAATTTGTCACCAGAAAATGTGTAGGGCCTAAGTACAAAAAAAAAACAGCTACTGCGCATGTTCAGCATGTTCAGCACATATCCGGAAAGCTAACGTTTACTAAAAGTTTGCCGTCTCCAGCTAAATTATCCTCTGCCTAAAAATATACAGCGGCCGCTCCGAAGTACCAAAGCTAAACTTTACTTTTTTAAATTTCGGTTGTTGATTGTGATATTATTTGTAGAGTATACAGCTTGTTTGCGTTGATAACAATGATATGACTACTTATGGGTCTTAAGTGTAAGACCCATAGTTCTAGGGGGCTAACTATGCATGGGGCTACCCCCCCCCCCCCCCCCACCACTGTGACAGAGTCTCAGATACAAAATTGCATCAGAAAAAAACATGAAATAGCCTACACCCCCTTCCCTCCCCACCTGATCATTCCTGCCGCATTCTTACCAATAACCGGACTGTCATTTAACGCATCTGAAGACACAACACACAATATCAAGCTCAGAAACAAGGTGCTCTTGAACGCCATGATGAACGTCTTCTCAACTTAAGTTTATTCGGATGAATGAGTCTGCATTTTCCACACAGCTGTCATGTCATTGACAAAACTTCACGTGAGTATCCGAAGAGCGCCCTCAATAGTTCAGATTTTGTCAAAAGAACTTTTTGTTACATAATACTGTATCACCTGTTGTATCTTCACCTCCAAAAAAATCAATGTCTTTTAAATTGGTTTAAATCTTTTTATGAACAAAACAGCAAGATCTGTTTTAAGCTCTGGCAAGACCTTTTAAATGTCACTTGGTGATCAGTTGGTCGGTCGGTCTGTCCATCTATCTGTCTGTCCCCGAAACTTGACCAAAAATATTTGACAAAAAATTGACCAAATGCCATGCCGTCGTCAATAAATGCACTCTTGATGAAAGTTATCAGAAAACAGGCTTTGTCTTAATCGATGCACATGCGCGTATATTTTGCATATATGTCTGTGCCCGGAAAATAGACCAAGAACGACACCCTAAGTGTCCCATAAAATGTAACTACCCAACTTAAAATTAAATAACAAACGCACACAAAAGAAAATAAATACTTAACAAACATTGTTTGTAACAATTCATTAAGTTGTTTATGAAAGTTTTGTAAATGGAGACAAGATAATGTGCAGTAATGTTATAGTCATATTGTTTATAGCGCGCTATTTTTATAGGAAACTTAGGGTCTTATTTTGGTCAATTTTCAGCACGTGATTTTTTGCGTGGGACGCTGGCCTGGGCTTGTACGCACAATCATTTCATGCAAGACTTTCAGGAAAGGCGGCCAGAGCGTATTGTGCACTTGCACTAGTTTTTTTAATTAAATATTAAAAAAAAATACTCGTTCACTTTTCAATCTACCACAAATGTTTTCCCCCCAAAAGGTTTACAAGTAAAAACCAATCAAAAATTAAAAGAATTGATTCTCAACTTCAACTTTTATTATAATGCATTGCACTTTTCACAAGTAACAATTACCTCTAGATTAAGTTTATTTTACAATAATAGAGAAACCAATACGAGCGTTTTCTTGCTTATTGGCGTGAGATACATGTAGGAACGGTCCAATATTTTTTTGTTGTTTAATAACCCGAGCAAAAATGACAGAGAAACTCAAAAAATGAGTCTTAGATGTTATGTAGGTAAAAGTATTTCTACAAAATCTGGTCCCTTTTAAGGTTGAAAGTTCACAATCTTCACTTATAGGCATGCACAATACTACCGATGAGTCCGTATTTTATAATCCTAAAGTCACACTACACCGGCACCACTGCGTTCTGCGCCACATCAGGCAGTACGCGCCACATCCTCGCCAATCTCCAAATAAGGAGATTGTTAGTACTACTGGCAAGAGGCACATACCATAAACATAGCTACAGGGGTGTTTCACAAAACACGAAGTAAAATTGTTGAACAAAATCGTTTGAAATTTTGACTCTTTGAGCGAAAGGTATTTATGAATGGGAATAAATATGTGCTTGGTCGGTATTAAACTGGCCGGTATGGAAAAAGTATGTTTCAAATCGGCTTGGGACCTTTTTGTCGATAATGTCTGCATCCAGGCCCTAAGCCGGTTTAAAGCATACTTATTTAAAACTGGCCAAGCACATATTCTTTCCCTTAATATAATTTCCTTTAAAAAGTGAAAGAACTAATACTCGATCATTGTGAAAACATGTGGTCAAAAATCAAATTCCTTCATATTCAGTGGTTATAGTGCCTTGAAAGTTCCCCAACTCATCAATGCAAAATTGATTTCCAACTTATTTATCAGAAAGGGGGCTGACTAATTTTTCTCTGGGGCATGCTCCACCAGTCCAGCAGTCTCCTGAGGACGATCAGAACCAACTGTTTGAAACATCACGCTCCATTCTCACCACCGTTCTTTTCAGAACCCCCACTTTCTCATGAAAGATATTTCTTAGGGTAATTAATAATACCCGAGTCTTATATAGCGCACATATCTATCAACAATGTAGATGCTCAAGGCGCTGGTAATTATGTCTATTTTTAAAGACAGGGAAATGAAGTTTATGAGAAATATGAGACCCATTATGTAGCAACCTTATAATGGTTTACATTAGGTGCCACAGCGCATGTTGCAGCCACTGCCAGAAACACTGGGGCAAACCCCTTCTCTTATAGCAATAAGTGTTACTGGGTTCTTTAACGTGCATTACACAACACATGGGACCCATGGCTTAACGTCCCATCCAAAAGACGAAGCGATAATGGTAAAGTGCCTTGCTCAAGAGCACAAGCACCATGTTCCCCGTCAGGATTTGAACCCACGTGCCACGCCACACAAGTCGATCGCGAACACTGTAACCATTGGACCACAGGTGTACCCACAAACTCATGCGTGGATATTTAAGTCAAGTTGACCCCTGGGTCACAGGTCAGTCAGCCAATGATGCGCTGGACAGTGTCCAACTCCATATCTGCCGTTAGAAATTTTGAGGTTGTATTCGTACCGCTGTCACCTGCTCTGTTTCTGCTCCTCAAAATGACATCCCGTGTCCGCACCAACTCGGACAGTTTCATGAATCGGAGATTCGTCTGCATCTTGGGAGATTCCACTTTCACTGAGGGGTTGCCACAGTGGGTCCACCTCTGGCACAAACGGATCCGGGGCCACAACATCCACGGTCTCCCCTTTGGCTGGAATGATGAGTCTGTGTGAGTGTAGCATCATGCGGTACGGCTTGACATCCCGCCGGTAACTGTACGTGTAATCGCCGACGATCGGGTGGCCGAGACTCAAGCAGTGCACACGCAGTTGATGCCTCCTTCCTATCAGTGTCAAGAAATTGAATGGAACAATTGAGAGCTTTAGCATGCAGCATCACAGCAAAATGTACCAAAAAATTGGGTGAAACTTCGCAATCTTTTGTGATGAGGAGAGAACTAAAATGGAGAAATTTAATCTCAAAAAACTGAGTTAAAGGTAATATACAACATTTGCTTTTGCTGTAATTTTCAGAAATGGATGGATTTGGGGGTAAGTATTTTGTGGCAAATATTGTTACACTGACCTGCTTAACGTTTTGTGTTTACAGATGCTGGAAAAACCACGAACAAAAAAAGATGTTCTTGTACTGTGGTTCCCTGACCCTACTTCAGATAAAACAGAGCAATTTGAAGACATCGAGGAATTGTAGGGTCAGGCAACCAGACTAGCTGGCTTGCACCCGTTCACAGATGTGTAACCGATAGCAAACAAAATGTGAACTGACTAAATTTGGTAAATTGGGGCAGTATTCGGAAAAAAAGTCAGTTTTTTCCAAGGATGGTCGGCTGACCATCGTTGGAAATTGATACAAAAATTCCACTTTTCTTGAAAATGACAGCACACCAGGTGCCATGATTCCACAGGATACTTTAGACTGTCATTCACTAACATTCCAGTAAGGTATTGCATACAAATTTTGGTAGTTTTGTTTTGTGATGCTTGCAAATGTTGTAAATTACCTTTGAAGCAGTTGCCTTGACATTGATTTGTGATTGACTTGTAAGGCCAAAAAAAAAAGTCTCCGGTTTCTGGTATGCGCGCGCGTCGCCGTAGCCAACAAGTTTTTTTTTCAATGAAAGATGATGTCTCAAAACCGCCAAACTCACTGGTTTGACTGGAATCCTGCTGCTGCACAATTTAAACATATTTTTAGATTGGGTTACGGTCGAGAATAAGCTTTATGTGGCCTCTCTGGACTCCCATAATATTTGCACTAAGTTTAGTCGGGCACCATTTGCAGTCATCAGCCGACATTTGAAGCAAAAAAATCAGGAAAAAAAAAAAAAAAAAGCCGCGTCGCAGCACCACTTTTTGGGCAAGCTCCATACCAGAAACCGGAGACTTTTTTTTTTGGCCTAAGAAGCTGATAACTCTGCATTAGACCATTTTCTATACCTGTCTGTGGTTTGAGAAGCACTTTGCTTGCTGGTTGCCCATCATACAGGCCCCGCTGTACAACATACAAGTCAGTGACTGCAGATAGTACCCTGACATCGTCTGATGAGTGGCCCGGGCCGGAGTCATCTACTGCGCACATCATATGCGTATAGCCCTCCTGGGGATTGGCATAGACTGGCTTGTCGATTCGCAGGAAGTCATCTCGAACATGACCTCTCAACTTTTATCACAAGAGAACAGAAAGTATATGGTAGTAAGCCATTTGCGAGTGACCTATACCCTTTGAGATTTAAATTTGAAAAACATCTGGTACACTGACTTGCTCAGAATGCTTGGCACCTTTTAACTTTGAATTCTCCAGACCAAAGAAACTACTGCTGATCACGTGATACGGGGCAAGTTTTTGCATAGTTACGTAAGAGACGCTCAGCGCCTATACATTGTTCACAATGGGTGAGAATGGCACAAAGACACCAGACCATGCTGGAGCTGGGGGTTGCTAGCATAAGGCTTGCCCCGAATCACGTGATATACTAACAGTCTCTTTGGTCGGGAGAATGCAAAGCATTGGATTAATGTCAGCGTTCCAGATTTTATTCAAACTCATTTGATACCGACCAAACCCCCAGGCTGATGGCCTATATTTCATGGTCAGCTGAAAGTTCATACTCACCAAAGCATAGTAACACTTGGTGACTTGACGCTTCTTGAACTTATTCACAGCATCGGCCGACGCCTTTTTGTTCAATGCGACGCACAATGCTCCACTGGTGGAGTAGTCTATACGGTGAACAAACCTGGAAGAAAAATACACGAAGTAGTTGAAACAATGCTAACAAGCCCTGAATGTTCCAAAGATGGCTTCAAGTTTAAAGGTAGAGTAGATCGTTTGCAGCTATCCATCCAAAAAGCAACTGACAAAATTATTTTTGGAATCTTACTTGGTTGAAAGGTATAGTCCACCATTTGTAATTGGTGCATTTTGTTTGTTTGAAGCAACAAAAGTGCTCAAAATCTAAAGAAGAGTGCTGAACAACTAACCTGATTAAGTTTCAGCTCAGCTTCAGCTGTATATTTCGAGAAAAACAACGATCTAGGACCTCGATTTCAAATCAAAAGTTGCTGAATCATGCTTCGAATTGGGCCTGAATTCAGCGTCCGAGACACGTTCTCACTGAGCCGATTGCAGCAATGCGATGTGGCAAACTGATCCAACGAATTATAGCAACCGCACGCGCATGTGCGTCATGTCAATGCTTGTGCACGCTTCGCCGAATAAAAAAGAAAGAACAGAAATTTCGAACGGTGAGTCTTAGGATGCATCGTTGGAAAGGCCTTCTTTCTTTGATTTCTTCAAAAGGACAGCATGCCATAAAGAATAATTTCACAGGGAGTTTAGTTCCCTTACTATCTTTCAACCAGGTATGTTTTTCAACAATAATTACGTCAGTTGCTTTTTGGATAGCTGCAAATGATGGACTGTAGCTTTAATTAAAGATAGTAATGGCACTAAACTCCCTGTGAAATTATTCTTTCTGGCATGCTGTCATTTTGAAGAAAACAATAGAAGAAGGCCATTTCCAAAGATGCATCAAGTGAAGCATTTTTCTGAAATTTCCGTGAGTACTTGGTTTGTATTTTGGCGAATCTGTGAATGGGTGCGCGCAAGCGTTGACATGATGCAAGCTTGCGCGGTTGCCATTATTCATCAGTTTAGTGCGCGAAGTTGCGTAGCTTCAATTGGCTGAATTGGAATGTGTCCCGGATGCTGATTTCAGGCGCAATTCAAACTATGACTCAGCAACGTTTGAATTGAAGTCGAGATCCTAGAATATTTTTTCTCAGAACGTACAGCATTTACGGAGCTAAAACTTCATCAAGTTGGTTGTTAAGCACCCGTCTTTAGATTTTGCGCACTTTTGTTGCTTCAAATGAATGAAAAAATACACCAATGACAATGATCTACCCTACCTTTAAACACAAAGTTACAAACTTCAGCACAATTTGTTTGTAATGACATTGTCAGAAAAGTAGTTGTTCCCACCGAAATTGATGAGCGACGCTTGCATCCACCAACTCAGGAAACCGATGAGCGAGCTGCGTTGCCACGGTGATCTTGTCACTGCTGTCATCGCTATTGATCTTGACATCATAATGCTTATTCACGACAATGAAGTTGGAGCTCTTGTACAGGACGTCCAGATTTTCCATCGTTGCGGGCCTGTGCCGTCCAAAGACACCTCTACGAAGCCAGGCATGTAACCAATGCAGGTTGACTTGAATTCGCTGCAGGTATCTTGACATCTGGCAGTGAAGGTGCATGCGTCATCATTAACACAACTGAAGGTATTTGAAAGTTTGTTTCTAACAATCTTTCATTTGAACACTTCAGTAGTAAGAACAGTTTTGATAACTTCCCTAAGAGCTTTTCTTTTCAGGGAGGGGGGGGGGGGAATAATCAAGTCCCACAAACATTCACCGCACATGTTCAGTGCAGTGCCGGTACAACTACAAGAGTGAAACAAAATCAGGAACTGGTTAGACCGAGTAACTTGGACCCTACTTATCGCCTTTTCCAACAATGGGACATGGTTCTAGCTGCATGGCTGCCATCGCGTGACACAATAGAAACGACCCAACAAAAACATCAGATTTCTGAAAGGTAAGTAAAGTCCGAGATATCCTACAGAATCGACCCAACATGCAAACGTGATCGGATGATCGCGCAGATCTACTGATTGCGCCCAACATATACACTGCCTTTTTAAGGGGTTTCTGTTTTTTGGGTTTTTTTGTCTTATTTCGTTAATTCTGTTATTTAATCTCATAAGTTTGGCACCCAGACCCGAGAAATTGGAAAGAATGTTGCAACGTGACCCTACTTCAGCACTTGTGTACAAACTCTATGGAGAGTCCAGAAAGTATTTCCTAACAAAATGGAAATGTTTCTCAGTCCCAGATTCATGTCTTATCATCATTTTTGCAATGACTTCCCTTCACTGAGATGATATATGAAGAAAAAAGCAGCGTCAGGTTGCAACATTCTTTCCGAGAAATTTTCAATATAGGCCTAGGCCTAGCTCATCAGCTCATGTGCATCCATCACCATGATTTGTGGGTTATGACTCATAACCCACTAATAGATGCCAGTGTTTCACTGGCTAATGAACTGAGTGAGGTGGTAACAATTCAAGTTGATGATTGAATCAAAATTTACAGTCTGCAAACTGAAAAGAATGCAGCACTCACAAAAATGCGCGATGATTCCAAAAACACATCGAAATTGTGAGTTCTTGATACATGGAGATTGGAGGTAAAGGAAAACGCTTGTATATTACACAAAATGAAAATTTTTCAATTGATATTTCCTTTTTTGCCAATCTTCACAGCGAGGTGGTGATATTGGCAAAAATTGAGCGAGGTGGTCACTGAAAGTAGCGAGGTGGGCCACCTCACGTTTGAATGGGCAGGGGAAACACTGATAGATGCACATGAGGTATATTCAAAATTTCTCGGATCTGGGTGCCAAAAAAAAGAAGTTCCAAAGACAGGCTGAGTGCATGGATTTGAGCTAGCGCCCTCTACCGCCGTGGCAGTTTGAATGCGCTTGCATGTCAAGCCAGGCAACGCACGTCAAGCCTCAATATTTAGAATCGTCAAAATCACCACAAAACTAGGTCCCAAGCAGTAAACTACACACTCGCCTAGAACATTACAGTATTTCTATTACAAAGTCCTTGTTAAGAATAAGAAGACTATCAATTTCAACCAACAATCCCGAGCCATCACTACCACCCACATCACGGTCATGTCGGTTCCGTGGGCGCTGCCATATTTGTTGTTCCAAAGAGGGCGCTGTGCATATGTGTCAAATTTTGGTTGGTGTACTTCACGCGGTCGTTTGCATTGTGTTGATTAAGTGAAGGATACCAACTATTTATTTTCGTCACTTTCGCGGGAATTTCACTAAGTGCGAGAATCAGCTGCACTGCAGGATAGGAGAGAACTGAAAGTTAAACACAAGTCAATTCCCATTGATTACATTATTTTGTACAGTACTCTACTCTGCACTACCAACACCAATCAGAAAGTTTATTGAGCAGTGTGTCACGGTTTTCACAGTTAATTTGAATTTAATCTGCCGATCTTATTGTGTGCGCACAAATAGCATGACAGTGACACTGACAGACAAACCAATCAAGCCAAGTTTTGGTGTGAGGAAACTATGGATTAGGCCCTAGGCTAGTATTTCAGTGTTCATGAGCCTTTACCACACCGTTATAAATTAACTTAAGGACGGCAGGAATTTCTACGAACTAACGCCAATCATGGAGGAGGACTTTGAAGATCGATATGCTGATGAGCTGGAAGCGATGAGAGAAATGGAGATGGATTTTGAAGGTAGGCAGGGAGGGGAGGTTCAGCAGCCATTTGTCAGGTGTTTTGTATGATGATGTGTTTAAAACTCGACAAATTATTTAAAGATCAACAATTTCACCAAAGACAAAGACAAATCTTTAAGATCAGACTTTAAAGTTTAAGTTAGGCTTGATTTTGCATGAACATTTGCTTTGAATGAACAAGAAATTAATCCACAGCCACTGACAGTGACAACAGACATGACAGACAGTGACAGATATCGTTATTTTCTCAGGCTAGTGGAATAATGCACCTATCAAATGTCCCCTCCCCCTGCGCTGCCCTAGGTCCAATGTCGGGGTTTGGTCACGTTTTCATGGCCCCAGGATGGGGATTTTGGTCACTCAAAAACATTGTTACCGGTACCATTGGCGTACTACATGGAAAGGCAATCACTAGTGCGCCCCACGTATGTTTGTCGGAGATTGTCACTTAAACTTTGACCGAGGGGTAGGGTTTTTGCCACTTCAAAATAGACGAAAGTGACAATCCCCACGTCTTGGGTGGGGCAGCCCCCCCCCCCCACCCTCCTCCTCCCCCCCCCCCCCAACAATTGATAGGCGATTAGGGGAACAATTGATAGGCGCATAACCCCCTGACGTTTCATGTTCTCTGTATGGTTTCACTTTTGACTTAATTATTTTTCAAATGAACCACTTTGTCATGTTTGTCATGTTTGTTGGTTTTTAGTAAAAGGCCTACATAAAAAAAAACATCACCCTGATTCTTGATTGCAATGTAGGCGTAAATAATGAAAATTCATATTGATTTAATATTAACTATGTTTTGTTTTGTGTTTGTTCAGTGCTGAAACTGAGCGATATCTTGATAATTTGCTTCTTTTCGACAAATACCTTTTTTTCCCATTACACAGCCTCTCAGAGAAGTCAAAGTCAAAACAGAACTGCACTATCCCAAACCGGAAAACAATCTCATGCTCCGCTAACCAACGGCTCTCAAAACCTTAGCATTACCAAGAGCACTGCAACTACTAGTGGCCTCAGCCAGCCCAAGAGCCAATCAGATCCCATCGCTGCTCTGAACACAAATGGCAAATCGTCGTCGGCCTTTTCTGGACTCCCAAATGGTTTCTCAAGAGAACCGGAGGTTGATGGCCTGGAGAGGAAAGCCAAGAAGCGAGATATCGAGGAGATGTTTGGGCCGTTGTCCGACAGTGAAGACGAGTTGGTCATAGACGCAGCCCTGCCAACCATTGGTAAGATTTGCATCATGACTCAAAAAAATCCTTTCCCCATCAGGTTTAATACTGGTAAATATGAATCCACTGGAAAAATTGAGCAATTTTGTTGCTTCAAACTAAAAAATCTACAAGAAGCAAATGGTCCTATGTACCTACATTTTTTTTTACCCTAACTTTCTAGGCATTTGTGCTAGTATGCAGCCTCAATCCTGCAAAATCCTCCAACTGCCTCCATGGAAAAATAGCATACAACCTCAATCCTGCAAAATCCTCCGTTACTTCTTGAATGTGGTCCTTGAAAGGGGTGACCACTGCCTCAATCCTGCAAAATCCTCCAGCAATCACTGTCAATATGTTGAGGCAGAGCCAGTGACATCCTGGAGCACTGCGGAAGATTTCAAGTGTAATCTTGGCCTAAAGTTATGCACGGCTGAGCATAAACAACACAGGGTCCGGCCCAAGACCTTAACACAGTGCATCCTCCACAATTAGCCACACATTTTTGCCATATAGCCTCAATCCTGCAAAATCCTCCATTTTGCAAAGAGGATTTTGGAGAATTTGGGAAGGTTAGGGTTAAATTAATCAGTTGTATGGGATGTAATGATGGCAGACCAAGGTCATTTGTGACCTGTTCTGTCAAAATCAGATTTTTCTGGGCATAAGGTCAAAAATGAGGTTTTTGCATATTGTTAAAATATGTTCTTTTTCCTTTAAATAGGTGGTTTAATTTTTGAAACCGGTCATTCCTGGGCAGAGTTATGCTATTTTGAAGTTCATTGTGTCGAAAAGTAGAAAACGGAGCAAATGGCCACGAATGTCACAAAACAGTACTTTCTTTGACTGATATATACTTTAACAAATCACCAAAAATACTATATTTAGAGTTCAAATTAGGGTTTCAAACTGTTACAGTATATTTTAGACATGTTCAGGATTACAAATATGCAAAATTTGAAAATCGAAAAAAATCACCCCCACAGCGTTTTTTTGCCCTATCTCAATTTCAACCTCTGCCCCATTTCAACCGTCTGCTTTTGACAGAACAGGTCACATTTATCCAATCGAAGTTAGAGTAAAATGTTTACCTTTTAAAATTTCAGCTCCTACAGCCAAGCGTCCCAGAAAACTCTTCCCGGATGCCAGTAAAACAACAGATAGAGCTACCACCTCCCCGCCCCCATCCCCAACTCCCGAGGAAAAGGCCCTTGCAAAGATAATGCTGCACCGGCAGCAGTCGGCATCTCTGGCGCAGCAGCCCGCGGAACCCACAAGGGCGCTCTCCGCAAACAGTGGTCAAGACACCGCCTGGCCGGCTGGGTATCGCCGGCTGCAGATTCTGCACCGGGAGCCCCTGGGTCTGTCGGCACGAATCACTGGGCAGGACGGGAGGCGGGTGTATCTCAGGATGAAGGATGTTGTCGGTGTGGAGGGTAAAATGGTAAGGGACCAAGTTCCAAGCTGCGGCAGAGCGTTCACACACCGTTCAAAATGTTTGCAAACACTATAAGGTTTTTGCCTGCCCTGTGTGTGTCGCACTTATATAGGAGAGGCATAAAACATTGATCTTGGCACAGTGGCATATTAAAAGCATTGAATTTGAACCCATTGCAAAATGTGTACCTTACAATTCCTGGGATCTGTTAAAGAATTATAATGCTCCTAATGTTTCAAATTAACCCTAACCCTGCCAGACGCAACACAGTGCATCAGGTGGAAAAGTCTGGTGCACTTTGATGCATTCAGCTACCAACATTAGTGCATAAACGGCCACTTCTGAGACAATGAGAGCTAGTCCCATTGAACAATGCCACAGTTGTATCCTGCTGCATTCGGTGACCACAGACTCTGAGGCAGTGTGGCCTTGAGACTTTTGGCCTGATGGATCTTGCTGCACTGGGCAGGCTTGTCACTTAGACAAGTGTTGCATGTGGCTGCGTTTGGCAGGGTTTCTATCCAAAAATGCCCTGGAGTGTTAGGGTTTTGAAGGAACATGTTTACAGGCATCCTAGATTCTTTGTAAAATTAAAGTTGAAGCAGGTCACGTGGATGCAAGTCCCATATTTAAAGGTTTGAGAAAATGTGAGGCGTCTGGCAAAAATAAGATGGAACTGGGCAGAGGTCGAAATGAGGGTTTGCAAGTATTAGGAAAGAGAATAAAATTCTCCTGACAATACTGTTTGTTGCACTTCAATCGGACGTTCCGTTGACAAATTATGTCTGTTTAAAATTCACATTAATCGACATGTCAAAACAAGTAAAATACTGAGAAAAAGGCCTTTTAAGTTTCGAGTTTTGTAGTCGTGAAAATGAAAGATGCCAAATGTTTTCTCCTTAACCCTTATACTTCCACAATTTTTGTCCTATTTCTTTAAAATGCGTGTTGTAGACAAACCAAAGATAACAAATATCAGTAAATCTGAAAATTAAAAAAATCAACCCCATTCATTTTGTTGCATTTTTCTCCACTGAGCCAGTTCCGTTTCATTTTGCCAGAACGTCTCACAAATACGTTAATGATTCTGATTTTTTTTCCCATTTATTAAAAACATTTGAACTTGTTAATGCCCCTTTTGGCGTCCAGTCCTGTTTCCAAAATATCTTTGTAGACTTTTCAAATACCACAACACTTATCTCAGATTCTGATGCTTCTAATATTTTTTTCCACTTCTTTTATTTTCTTGATAAACAGAAGAATAAGTCAATCTTCAAGCAGACCCCCGGACACCCCCTTCGCCTTCTTGCAGTGCCCGTGGAGATGATGCAAGATGATCTCGAGAGTGAGGTAACACCTAAACACGATAAAACCATACCACCTCCAGTGTCAAAATGCGATATTATTTATTAATGCTGCTCCCTATGACTGTTTTTAGAGATAGTCTTTATCTTTCTTCTAATACAGAGACACATGCGACTAGTGAAACAAGCCCAAACCATCTCAGCATCTATAAACGGGTGTGTATATAGGGTTAGTCAAAAAAGTGAAACCCAAGTGTCGGGACTATTGTTTTAGTGAAGTTCTGCATGTAGTACTTTGAAAATCTAGGATATGAAAGCCAAATTCATAAGCTTTCTTTTAGTACAAGAATCATTCAAATCACTCATGTACTTTTCAAGTTACGGAATTTTAAACACAACCACCGTTTTAAGGTTCTGTCCACGGATCACAAAAAAGGTGTGCGTTCTTTCAGCAAAACGAAAAACAATTCACACACATCCCTATGTGATTTGTTTTCGTTTTGCTGAAAGA